TACGTATGCATATATATATATATATATATAAGTAGACATAAGTACATATACACGTAGATGTATATGCGCACACACATTTATATGTTTATATGTCTTTATTATGACATATATATATATATATATATTCACATATGAGTAAGGGGTTCCATGGAAGTTTTTGGATTCATTATGACGGGTTTAGGGGTTTAATATAAGAGGTCGGAGTAATTGGTTTCAGTACCCGCGTAGAGTCCCTGTATGATTAGACAAGAATATCACCCTTCCGAAAAAGAAATCCCGCCACTAATGCCTCGATATTCGAGTCTTGATTTGAGGCTATGGCTGTTAGGGATCCACAAACGAACCCCTAAACCCTCACCCCAAGACCCTATACCCGAAGCCCCTAAAACTGCCAAACCCTTAACTTGCAACCACCCTCGAACCCAAACCCTGTTGAAACATAGGAGACCCCGAACCCCCCCTGGAAGCGGAACAATAATTGTTACGACTCTTCGCCTTATGCCTTATGCAACTTTGATGGGGGCGGAACGCCCAACTTTACTCATTTTGGGCCTTCGGGATTTGAACAGAAAACTTGAGCGAGTTTTGTTAACCCGTCCCAGCCTTTCAAGACATGACTCGTTCTTAGCCTTCCTGGCTTTCTACGGAACATTGCGTAGGTGCTTTGGGCAATCTAGGTCTCTTGAGAAATGGAGAGCATCTTCAGCGAGGTCTTTCATCGGTTTAGGGTGTAGGTTTTACGGTTTAGGGTTTAGGGTTTCATAGCCTGGCCAGGCTGGGAAATAGTTGAACCAAATTTGTACATTCTCGTGTTGTCATCAGAATTAAAAGCAGCCAATCCCCTTCGTAGCCGGTCGAGAATTGAACAAGTTCAACGCATCCGACCCCGTCAAGAAATAATAGGAACGTTGAGTGATTTTGTCTAACGCGTCCAGCTTTTCATTTGCGAGATTTGGGCTATCTTGGTCGTTCGGGAATTGGCAAAGAGGCTGAGCGACGTTTTGGCTCAACTCGGCCCTTCGGACATGGAAGGATTCTCAAAGTCGCAAGCCCCCTAAACCCTAAACCGAAACCTTGCAACCCTAAACCTTAAACTACAAGGCTTGTAGTATTCCTTTTAGGAAGGAATCTTAAAGTCGAACAGCCCCCCCCTTTATTTGAAGGGTTCGGGTTTCGGTTCCCGGCTGCCAGGTTCCGGGTCTCTCGGGGTTTGGGCGCCAGGGCCGAGGGTTTCGGCCCGTTTATTTTTTTGAATTTTCGGGCGGACGAACATCGTGAAATCTAGGTTTCGGAGTCAAGGGTCGGAGTTTCAGGCGGTTTTGGTTCCAAAGTCCAAGGTTTTGCAAGGTTTCCGCCCTCAGCATTCACGGTTTCGGGCTCAGTTCCCGTGGCTTTCCGAAAAATTTTCGTGGAACTCCAAGGGAAAGACCACTATTCTAGTGCGGCCGGGTGCCGATGTCGAGGTACCACCCTTTCGGCTTCGTGTATCAAGCTCTCGGCCTGAAGGTTCAGAGTTTCAGCCTCAGGTTAAACCCTAAACCCTAAACCCTGAACCCTAAACCCTAAACCCTAAACCCCAAACACTAAACCCTAAACACTAAACCCTAAACCCGGCCTTCCGGAATGTTCCGTTTCGGCCGTAGTGTTCACAAGGTGTCGGCGCGAGAGTTCAAGTTTTCGGTCCAAACGCTTCGTCAGGGTTGTCGGTGAAACCGTGAACCGCGCAAAACCTAGGGTTTAGGGTTTAGGGTTAGGGTCTGGGCAAGGTTCCCTGAAAGGGTACCCAGAAACCTTACACCCGTTTGGGTGGCGGAAACTCTCCAGGTTTGTTGTTGTGTGTGTACGGGATATCCACAAAGAGAGTGCTGGCTGAGTCACTATACAGGGTGTACGTCAAAAGACTTGACACACTTCAGCTAAGATTTTAACAGTGTTTTTTGTGATACTCCTAAAGCATTTTCGTCGCGATGAATCAGGGTGCTCGAATTCAACGTAGCAGTGAGGCAAAGGCTTGGTGTATGAGGGTACGTGACGCGACTGATCCGATTGAGCGTCAAACGCGATTCCGGGTGACGTCCACGGAGCGATTACGTCGCGTTGGCCTGCTGCATCTTTGTGTTAAGATGATATTTGCCTGTGACATGTTTCCGTATGTAGCTTGTGTGAGCGGGAGTTCACTATTTAGGTCAGAATATGAAAAGCTTTCTTTTATGCTGCGAGATTCTTGGGGCGGGGTCAGTTTTTCTGGTTAGAAGCACACGCTGGCCTAGTGATATCTTAGTCCAGCTCATCGTAAACCCCAAACCCTGAAACCAAACCCCAAACCCCAAACCCTAAACCCCAAGCACTAAACCCTAAACCCCAAGCCCCAAACCCCGAACCCGAAACCCCGGAACCCTAAGCCCTAAATCCCAAACAAAGCCCACTTGGAGGTTCATGGGTAGTTATAAGTGGGGTTATAAGTAGGGTAACTATAGTTATAACCCATATTAGGGGACTTATAACCCTAAACCCTAAACCCTAAACCCTAAACCCTTATAACCCTACTTATAACTACCCATGAACCTCCAAGCACAGATTCGAAGGAAGGCCAATTGGGTCCAGGCTGGCCGACCTGGCGGCTTCTGTCAGGTCCGAGCAGGGTGTCGAAAAAAAGTAATCTAGGGGCCTTACTGTAATGATTACAATAGGGTCTTGGGGGCTCCTTATTAATTATAGTTATGGTATAACATATCCTAAACCCTATTCTAATTATTAAGGCCCCTATGTTACGGTCAAGGAGTGTGCTTTTAGAGGGGGTGTGCAATTTGTTGTTTAGGGTCTCTGATTTAGGATATAAGGTTGAGGGTTTGGGCTTTTGGCAGGGGTTTTGAACAAAGTCCACTTGTGATTCTGGCCTCAGTAATGGTAATCGAAAGTGCTGCAGTACTGGTAGCAGCTCCTAGCCGCCCTAACCGTAACCCGATGCCCCAACTCCCCCAAATTTTCAACATTTTTTGAATGCACAACCTAAAGTCTAACCTGACCTAAAGCCTAAAGCCTCAACCCTAAACCCTAAACCCTAAACCCTACTAATCCTAGACGCAAAAACCCCCTCTTGAACAACCAGAGCCCAGGTCGGTGTATGGAGCCTCTCCAGGCATCCGAACTACTTTGGGGAGATTTTTCAGTGGTGGTGCGCCTTTCTTCTGGCATACAACAGCTCAGAAGCTTCCTCTGGCTATATGGATCCTTTGTGGTGGGCTTGCATCCTGTCCCCCCTCTTCACGATGCACATTCTGTTGAATATTGGTGCAACTGGCATCTCCAACGCGGAGGGTAAGAATCTCAAGCGCTACTACGAGAAGTGCCCTGATCCTCTCCGCGATCTTCGCACCGCGTTCTTTGTAGTTCGATTCTGCGGGAGTTTGGGGTTTAGGGTTTGGGGGTTTAGGGTTTAGGGTTCTTTGTAGTTCGATTCTGTGGGAGTTTGGGGTTTAGGGTTTGGGGGTTTAAGAGTTCGGTTAAGAGCTAAGCAGCTGAAGCCACGCCCTGTGTCCCAAGGAAGAGTATGCGGAATACCGGAAGAATACCTCCATTCTCATTCCGATGGTGGGCTACAGACACATTCCGCTGAGTGTGAAGAGGCCGAATTTGGTGCCTCGCATGTCAGGTCTCCTAGACTTTTCCAGTTTGCACTGCGGTTTAGGGGTTTAAGTTAAGGGTTTAGGGCTCAGGGGGTAGATTATAGATAATGCATATGCGAAAGCGACTCTTATGTTGTCCGTGCGAGTACTTAGACTCGGCGCCTCCTCGAATACTGCATGATGCATATGGGTGGTTGTCAAAATTATGGTCCCTTTTTGGGTCCTTATTATAATACGGCACCTATTATTTAGGGTACCCCAAAAGGGACCATAATTTTGAAAAC